CCAGGAGGATCTTTCTAGTGCAGAAACCTGTTTATAGCACCCCTTGCTTAAACCTTTTGGTGTGTCTCCCCAGATGTGTATACATGTGCATGCACACACACCACACACACACAGCTCTCAGGATAAGGATCACACTTTAAGATGTTTAAATTCTAGTTCCAGTGAAACTTTCTGGGCTGCTCTCCTCCCACCCTTTTGGATCCCATGGAATGCTCCACTATTCTCCCCTCCAGCACTCTTCTGTGTCACACCACCTCTGCTCTTGCTGTGCTCCACCTCAAATGTCCTTGCCCTTCTCCACTTGACAAATTTGCCCTTCAAAAATGCAGCATGGATGTCACCTCCTCTGGGAAGCCCTCTGAGATTGCTCCAGGCTGGGTTAACCCCTGGGTCCACAGGCTTCTGGGTAACACGGTCACTGCGTGCCAGCACCACTCATCTCTGCATCTCCCTCTGCTGGAGTCTTGGGGTAGGGACATGTCTGATTTGTCCTGGGTCCCCAGTCCCCAGGCTTGTCACATACTAAGAGCTCAGATAGTGTTTGTTAATCAGATACTACCTTTGTGGCCCCTACTGTGCCTGGCAATGTGGGGTCCCTGATAGATACTCGATTGATAACTTTTCAGTGCATTAAACTGATCACAAACCTCAGTTCTCCAGGTCATGAGAAAACCGTGAGCCACTTGCAAATACAGGTTGCTTGCTGCCCTGATAGGTTTAAGGAATCAGTTCTTGGCACTTGGAGCTATTGGATTTGGGGCTTGATGAGGGCTTAGTCTTCAGCTTTGCACACAGAACCCGTCAAAGGGAGGAGCCTCCCTTTATCCAGGAAGCTGTGGGGGACTGGCCCACTGGGGCCTTCATCGTGGGCGGGCACAGATACCCCATCCCCTTTAGAGGAATGGATTTATAGATAGGTGTCATTTAAAGGTGGGGATATGTTCTGCAAAATGTGGTGTTAGGTGATTTTGTCATTTTGCACACATCATAGAGAATACTTACACAAACGTAGATGGCATAGCCTACTGTACAGCTAGGCTATATGGTATAGCCTATTGCTCCTACGTGAGTATTGTGATGCGTACAAAAGCTACAACATCACTAGGTGATGGGAATTTTTCACCTCCAATATAATCGCATATTTGGTCCATTGTAAAACATTGTTATACGGCTCATCTGTAGCCATGGGATATTTTAGGTCAGATCTTTCCCTTAAAAAAATTGTTTATTTCTAATATAAAATTTTATGACCCATATTCATTAAATAACATGTGTAAAATACATAAAAGTACAAACCACCTGTAATCCTTCTATGGGTAGTGATGTATATGCTTGTATTCTGTTTTCCAAGCATGCATATTTAGTAACTTCCTACGGCATTGAGATTATTGTTTGTATTTATTACCATTGTTTTAGTCCGTTTTTCTCCTCCCATGACAGAATACCTGAGACTGGGTAATCGATAAACAATAGAAGTTTATTTGGCTCACAGTTCTGGAGGCTGGAAAGTTCAAGATTGAGGGGATGCATCTGGCCAGGGTCTTCTTGCCGCGTCAGCCCGTGGCGAAAGGTAGAAGGGTAGGAGAGCTGTGCGAGAAAGCTAGAGATTGAACTTGCAGCCTCAAGCCCCTTCTTAATTGGCATTAATCCACTCATGAGAGTGAAGCCCTCATGACCTCAACATCTGCCGTTAGGACTCATCAGCCAACATGGTTGCATTGGGGATTAAGTTTCCAACATATGCCTTTGGGAGGATACATTCAACCCTTATCATTCTTTTATTTATTACTGTATAGAGTCTTATTTTATTAATTAAACCTCATGTATTTCTGTAAGTTGATAAGTTCATAATACAAGCCCCCTGTAGCCCCACTGCCACTGACAAAGTGAAAGTTAAAGAGACCCGTGTGCCAAAAGGAACAAGTAGGGCATGGGAATCAAACTTAGCTCAGAGCTTTCCAGCAGCCAAGGCAATAAAAATAAAAATAAAACAGAAGCTCAAAGGGTCATAGAACTCTTGAACCACAGAAGAGGAAGCAAACCAGATTGTCAGAATGCATGAACTTTCCTAGCTGAGACCTCTGAAGAGGGTGCATCGTGGGGACCTTGTGTAAGGGTGTTGTGTAAGGGACAGTTTCACTGGAAGATACGGGAACCACCTGGGTTTGGCCACTTCTCATGCTAACTCTCGATAACAGCTGAGGGTGTGTTGATAAATTGTAGTTCTGGGAAGGCATATTTTTGTAGGAAGCCTAAGTAACATGGTCTAAGTGTGTAGCTTTCTGGGGGTTTCATTTGCTAGAGATTCAACAACGCATGTCAATTGTGTGGCTTCATGATCTCATTTAACTGTCTAGGAGAAGTTGAAGGCAGAGACTACTAGTGCCATTTTGCAGATGAGAAAATTGAGGCTCAGGGAGATTGACTTATCCAAGGTCACACCATCTACTAAATGGCATTACCGGGACTTGAACCTCAGCCTACCACATTTTCCTTTTTGGTAACACCCTGTTAGAGGAGGGGGAAGTGCCTTACCCTGTATGTATCTACTGTGTGACCAAGTCCATTGCTTTATAAGCACCACCTCATCCAATCCTTACAGTAAATCCTAGAGGTACATGATATTAACCTGCTTTGCAGAGAGGATTGGCAGTTGCCCAAGGCATTCTGATAGTAAGTGGTAGCAAAGCTAAGCAGCGGTTTCTAATCTGGGTTTGGCGATGGGACTCAGAGTGTGCACGGATTCAATGGAATTGCACACAAACATTTGTTCCTATTTGCATTTTTCTGAGGGAGAGCAGAGAGGATAGCTTTTATGGAGTTTTGAAAACAAACCAACAAACAAAACCCAGGGGGAGAAACAAAAAACACAGACCACTGAGGTCAAGGAAGATATCATAGTAACAGCTCATATTGACTGAGCCTCAGCCAAAGGCCAGGCAGCCAGCAAGGCCTGGATGGGCTTATGGTTCCTGTGAGTGTTACGGTGTATCACCCCATCTTATAGGTTGTTCAGCTAGTAAGTAAGTAAGCCTTGCATGGTGACTAAGCTTTGCTTTTTTCCATCCTTGCCTCTTGTGGCTAGGTTTTGTTGTTGTTGTTGTTGTTGTTGTTTTTAAGGAATTAGTAGGACTTTTTGGTCCTCCTTTGTGAGCTAGAATTACTAAAAGGCAGAATGATATGCCGTGCTTCAAGAGATCAATGCCTGTGTACGTGTCACCTCTGGTTCCCTGACCCCTGGGAATAAGCCTGGTTGGGTGGTGATTGGTTAAAAGAGTGAACACATGCATGAACAAACAAATGAATGAATGGACAAGTGGTAGAGAGAAGTACCTCTTCCTCGGCATCCTGGATCGGCAAGACATGAATATGTCTCTGATGACTTTTATTTGAGGATGACAGATGACTGTAGTGTTAGAGAGAAGTCTTGGGGAAGCTGAGGTCAGGCCCAATGTGATGGCCACACAGGACCAGAGTGATGGGAGGAGCCTCAGAGGTCGTGTCCTTCCTCCCCAGCAGGCAGCGGGTACCCCCTTGCACAGTTCTCTGCTGTGGCATGTAGCATTCCACAGCATGTGGCAAGGCTGTCAGGGCCAGGACTGTCTTGCTTCCCCTAGAACCTTTCATATCCCTGGCCCAGGTGAGAGTACCTTTTGTATCCCTGGCCCAGGTGAAAGCCCCCTGTCTGACCTGTTGTGGTTTCTTGCATCCCAGCATGGCTTGTCCTCCCAGTCGTTGGGCCCCCGTTAAGAGCAGCAGCATCAGCAGCCCCATTTTATAGCTGAGGAAACAGGCTCAGATGGTGGAGTGACATGTCCAAGGCCACACCAGTGAGCGGTGGATCTGGGACTTTGACCCAGTTGTGGCTGGCTCCGAAGGCTTGTGTCACTGCATCCTCTTATTTGCATTGCTAGGCAGCCTCTGGAAGGTAACCACAAACCGGAGGCCTCATCAAAATCTGGAGACCGCTCTCCCTCATGGGGAGAGATTGGTCAACAGGTACAAAGTTACAATTAGATAGGAGAAGTAAGTTCTGATGTTCTCCTGCACAGTAGGGTGAGTATAATTAACAATAATGTACTGTCTGTTTGTCTCTGGTAGCCACTGTTCTATGCTCCTTTTTTTTTTTTTTTTGGCAGCTGGCGAGTATGGGGATCCAAACCTTTGACCTTAATGTTGTAAGGCCATGCTCTGACCAGCTGAGCTAACTGGCCAGCCCCTACTCTCTACTTCTATCAGCTATTTTAGATTCCACATTTGAGTGACATCAGGCAGAACTTGTCTTTCTGTGTCTGTCTTATTTCACTTCGCAAAATGTCCTCCAGGTTTGTCCACACTGTGTCAAATGGCAGGATTTCATTCTTTTTTTGTGGCTGAATAGTATTCCATTGTGTAGATATAGCACATTGTCTTTTCCATTCATCTGTAGTTGGACATTTGGGTTGATTCCAAGTCTTGGCTATTGAGTCACATCCCCTTCTGGGCCTCAGTTTCTCCATCTGAGCTGCTCTCCAGCCCCCGATGCTCTGAGTCAGTGAGGACCTGGGGCTCTGGAAGGTGAAGCAAGAGATGGTGCTGGGATTCTGTGGGGGATTCTCTGAGGACTCGGCAGCTTGTGTGTGGGCGGAAGGCGTCCTCTGAGGCTCTTGGATGTGGAGGGTAGGAAATAGGGCAGATGGCAGGTGGGGATGAGCCAAACATGCTGGAGAGGAAGGGTACAAGCTTGGCTAAAAAGGCCGTTTGATGAAGCTTCGGGTTTCCATGCCAACTTGGTATTTCCTTTCCTGAAAATGGAAGTGCCCATGGAACTCCTGTGGGCATTACAGCCTCCTGTGAGGGTTGGGGCCTGATTGGGTGATTGGGGGTAGGACAGACTGGACAAGCCACCGAGGCATGAGGAGGAGGGCTGGGGAGCAGGCCATGGGTGGGGGCTGGGCCCCGAGGATCTCCCGTCTGGAGAACTGGGTGCTCATTGTTACTTTGCCTTGTGTTTTCTGCAGATCATGATCGAGTTCTGTCCTGGGGGAGCTGTGGACGCCATCATGCTGGGTGAGTCTTCCTCGATCCATTGTGTTTCCAGCGGTGGGAGGACTCATCCTGAGTCCTAAGTCTAACTCCTGATGGCTCTGTCTAGGACTGGAGCCCTTCATTCCCCCACTCCAGTAGTTCCCATGGCCTCTTTGAGCACCTCTCTGCTTTATCCCCTTTTAGGGGCAGGTTTGCGTTCTTGGAGAGAAAGCAAGACATTCGTTGGAAGACAAGCACTTCCCATTCAAAAAGTCATGTGTCCTTGAACTGCTCACTTGCCCTCTCCAGCCTTCTTGGCCATAAGATGGGTGGGTGCCTCCTTTGCATGACCCCACAGCACTCTCAGGAGGTGAAAATGAGATGCTGAGGGAGTTTCTTTGGAAAGTGGGGATACCCACCCATTTTGTAAATGCCTAGTAGGGACATCATCTGGTATCAGTGTCCTGTACAAGCTTGGGCAATAACAAGAACAATGATGACAATAAAATACTAGAGGTAACTGTTACGTTGCAGATACGTGGCAGAGACTGTGGTAGCCGCTTTCTCTTATGTTATCTTCATTTGATCCTCATGTATAAAATCAGAAAGAGCGTCTCTGTTTTACTCTTGATCAGACTAACCGTTAGAGGGGTTAAGCAGCTTGCCCGCAGTCACGCAGCAGAGCTGAGGTATAAGCCCAGGACTGATGACCCCCGCTCCTAACTGCTGCACGTTCCACATTGTCCCCTTCTCTGTTGTATCCAGGATTCTGGGATGGCTCAGGGGAGGAGAGGCCCTCGGTATAATGTCGTACCATTCAGCCACTTTTTATTATGAAGAAGGTATTTTCTCCTGAGTTTATCTCAGGAACGTTTCTAATGTTTGGCAGTGCATTCATATTCTGAGCTGTAGAGATGCCAAACCCGCAAACCTTCCTTGTAGAGCCCCTTACCACTCCCAGAGTTCCCAGGTAAGTAATGACAGTAGGGAGGTTAAAGAAAAAATTATTCAGTGACACTGGTTAAAGCATGGTAAGGAATACTTTATGCAGGACCGTTGCGATAGGTAAAGGGACCACTGGAATGGGACTTTGCAGTGAGAATGAGAGATTGGGCTCAACTCCAAATACAGCATGGGCAATGGGAATTTATAGCCAAGGAGCAGGGTAGGGGTCAGTGAATGGAAAATGACTAAGAGGGCTTCCGGTCAAGATGGCAGAGTAGACCATCCCCAGCATCACCCTCTCCCACAAATAACCAATTTACAAATATTAAAAAGCAATAACAGCCAAGCTGGGGCCACTAGAGCTCAGGGGAAGAGGAAGAGAGTCCTACAGAGTTCATGAAGACAGGAGAAGCAATGATGTGAGAAAGAAAGGATCACTCCCACCATTTCGAATTCTGGCAGCTTCAAGGCTGCAGTTGCTGAGCGCACAGAGTAGGAGCTGGAAAAAGCTGCAGCTGTGCCCTTTGTAGGAAGTTGTTTAGAGGTGGCAGAGGGGAAGAGGGTCTTGGTAGCCCCCAGGCCAGCAAGACCACTAACCAGGTTCCCATGGACCCACGTACAATCAAGGGGCCACAGACAACAGGAAAAAGGAACCACTCAGAGGCCGGTGAGTCATTGCAAGGGACCAGCATGCAGCCTGCTCCATGGGAAGTGGGGGAGACAAGCCACTTGGGGAATATTGCGGCAAAGCATGGACAGTTGATCTGCCCTCCAGTCGGTAAAGGACCACTCAGTGGAGACGGGTCAGGAATAGAGAACTGCAGGGGTGTAGTTTGCTGAAAACTCAGGCCCAGACCAGAGGTTCCACACAACCTAAGTATACTAGACTTCACAAGACCCAGAAGTGCTTACAGGGTGAATAATTAAAACCTGAGCTGCACAAAAAGCCTTCCCCAGGGAATCAGCAGCAAAGCAGCAATTCAGCTCAACTACAGGGCTCACATGCTGGTCCCCACAGGAAGTTCCCTCATTTTAGAAGTGAGCAAAGGACAACAAATTAGTTCCAGTGAAGGATTTAAGTGGTGGGAATTGCAAATAATCCAACACAGAATCGAAAGAGAAAACAAAATTCCCACAGATTAGAGACAAAGTTTGGTATTAACTAGTAAAGGTCTAACACCACCAATGAACACCTTTAAAACTAGAAGGACCGGAAGGCCCCTGGGCTCCCAAGCCAGAGACTGGGGAAGTCTAAGGGCCTCAGTCACACCTGCTCTGACATCTGCATCTAGCCCAGCAATAATCCAGCCACTGCTGGAAGCCCTCTGTCTCCCCTGCCAGAATGAGGAGGAGACGTGGGCCTCGGTCATGCCCTCCCTCCTTCCCCCTTTTCGCACCCTATTTCCTTCCCCTTTCCCTTTCCGTCTCCCGCCCAACTGCTTTGCAACAACATCTTATAATGATGTGAGGAGCCAGGGGAAGCTGAACCCAGCTGCAACCAGGTAAAGAGCACAGCAAAAACACCATTTTCACACGGGTAGCCCACCATAGCCACCACAGTTGCCATGGCTGCTGCAAAAGTGACTAGTCTCTATAGCAGCAGTCACAGCCACTGTGCAGATGGCATGCCAGACTCAACTGCACTGACACACAGGCACCAGCGGAGACCAAAAAAAAAAAAAAGGTCCTCTTTCTCCACAAAGCACACTCCAGAGTAATAGAAGCATCTGACTTACAATAATAGGGGAGGACTTGATCACACCTGTCTCAGTACTGGACAGATCATCTAGTCAACAAACCAACAAGGAGCAGTTAATCTATGAGATGGAGAGAACAAATATATGGTTATTAAAGGGGGAGGGAGAAGGAGTGGGGGGAGGGGAGAGATTGGATAAGAGGCATAAAGAATAAGTATGATTTGTAACAGTGAATATGCTAATTATAATAATAAATAAAAAGACTAAGAGGAAACATCAGGGGTAAGAGGGATTGTGGCCAAACTGACCTAGCAGGATTCTTGGAGGATTCTTGCTAAAATCTCTATATAGATCTTTTTATATATCAAATCTATATATAAATTGACCACATACCACCTGGGGGACCAGATACCACCTGGGGGATTGTGGAGGATGAGGAACCTGATATTGAGAGTGATCAGATAATGAGGATGGGGGTTTTTGCTAAAACTAGATTTTACAAGGAAGCACACAGATGGGCCTAGGAGAAGGTTTAAGAGACTGACTCAGTTTGGCCAAGCAGAGACTCTTTGTCAGGGAAGAGGATACAGGGCATTTATTATATGGCTGTTGGGTGTACCTTTCTTGGCAGAGACTGCCTTCGAAGATTATTATTGTTCTGAGTAGAATCCAACAGAGTAAAAATGGTAGCCTTGCATGAGTTGAGCCTGTCTAGGTTATAAGGAGTCAGAGACCATTCAGATTGGTTTGGGGTTTGGGGGAGGTGGAAGGAGCAATTTATTTGCTCAAAGAATTGAAAAGCTCAAGGATGTCTGACTTCAGGTACAGCTTGTTCTAGGTGTTTTAAAATGTTGTCATAAGGACTTGGTTTTCTTTTCCAACTCTTGGCTGCACTTTCCTCTGTTAGGCCCATTTTCATTCTGGTGTTCTGTTCTTGGTGACAAGACTGTTGTGGAAGCTCCAGCTGTCACATCTAAATTCCAAGTGGCAGGATGGAAGAAGGGAGGGTAGGACAAGCACCCACCCCACCCCACGTACATACCCCACTGACCCTCTTTTAAACAGACAGCATAGAAGCCTTGTGTATTAGTCTGTTTATGTTGCTTGTAACAAAATACCTGAAACTGGGTGATTTATAAAGAAAAATGAGATTTATTGCTTATAGTTTCTGAGGCTGCGAAGTCCAAAGTCCATCTGCTGGCAGCGACAGTGACCCAAGGGTCTCACATTGCAAGATGGTGGAAGCAGAGAGAGCAGAGAGAAAGGAAGACAGACTCTCCTCTTCTTTTAAAGTCCTCAGGACCACGCCCCTGACCACCATTTTTAATCCATTCACTACTGCGTGGTCCTACAATCCAGTCACCTCTTCAAGGCTCCACCTTTCAATTACCATAATAGGATTTCCCACCCTCTTAACAGTCACCGTGGGGGCCAAGTTTCTAATACATAAAACTTGGGGGACACAATTCAAGATTCAGTGAGTTTTGGGAAGACATTATGAAATCCACTACACCCTGCATGACACTTCCATTTACATCTTGTTGGCTATAACATATAACATAGCTGGAAGGGACACAGGGGAATGTGGTTTTCTAGCTGGGTGGCCATATGTTCTCATACTAAAAAAGAAGGAGAGAATGGGAGGCACCTATCAGCCCCTGTCTCCCCTGGTATTCAGCTTAACTGCATGAGGCCTGGAGGAGAATATCAGGGATGGGAGAGGCATTTAAGTGTACCATGTCTTCATCCTCATTCACAGCTGGGGTGTGACCCTAGGCTAGGGCTCAGCCAATGGGCAAACCCTGCCATGGCTCCCTGGCTCAATTCTCCTGGTGGCACTGACTTCTCATCCCCAAATGGTTTTCCCCGTTGGTGACAGCAGTCTAAGGAAAATTGCCATCAACATTCTGGAAATAAAGGTGTGAGAGGAGAAGCTGGGATGGGGACCCCCAACAAGATCGGAACAAGGTCCTGGTTGCAGCTCTGAGATTAGGGGTTGACTCTTCCACAGATGCCTGCTCTGCTTAGAGGGGTTTTCAGCCGTTGGTTCGTCTCCCCTTTTTCCTGCAGAGATGTGAAGGGTTACACGCCTGTCAGGGGACCTAAGGTCCATGTCATACTCCTTTTTTTCTAACTGTGGGTGCTGGGCTGGACTTCTGTGAGATGGGAAGAGTATCCATGTAGCACGTCACTGTGCGGCCGGTCTGGTTTAACACCCCGTGCCCATTCTGATTGGGATGGACATGGTTGGCCTTACCTTGCCGGCTGTTACACATTTTGGCTCTCAACCCTCTTACAGAGAAAGGGGCGAGAGGCTGGGATTAGAGACGGTGTCAGAGGGGACTTAGATCCGTCTGCGATGTTGTAATTTTTTTAGTAAGGAGAAGGTATTCATGTATTGCTGTGTAATTAAAGCTACTCTTAAAAATGTATTGGACTCGGGCCGGCCCGGTGGCGCACTGCTACAGTGTACCGCTTGGGAAGTGTGGCGGCGCTCCCGCCGAGGGTTCGGATCCCACATACAGACCGGCCGCTCACTGGCTGAGCGAGGTGCGGGCGCAACACCGAGGGTTGCGATCCCGTTGCCGGTCCCGGTCCGGTACGGGTGCGACACTGAGGGTTGCGATCCGTTGCCGGACACGAAAAAAGACAAAAAGGGAAAAAAAAAATGTATTGAACTCATGGCTCACTTGGGAGAGTGTGGTGCTGATAACCCCAAAGCCGTGGGTTCGGATCCCTATACAGGGATGGCTGGTTAGTTCACTTGGAAAAGCGTGGTGCTGACAACACCAAGGGTTTAAGATCCCCTTACCGGTCATCTTTGAGGGAAAAAAAAGAATTTATTGGACTCAAAAGACTATGTATTGTGTGATTCCAATTTTATGACATTCTAGAAAAAGATAAAAGTGTAGGGTCCGAAATCTAATTAGTGATTACTTAGGGGCTAGAAATGGGGGGAAAATTGACTACAAAGGGCACAGAGGAATTTGGGGGGATGATGGAAATATTCTCTAAGTTGGGATGGGGGTTACCTGACTGTATACATTTGTCAGAATTCATAGAACTGTACACCTAAATAAAAGTGAACTTTACTGTACATAAATTGTACCTCAATAAATCTGACTTAAAAAAATGCATTATGCCTCCCTCATCGGGTTATCGTAAGGATTGAATGAAATAATGCACCAAGTCCTTCATCTCCTGCCTGGCACATTATAAGGGCTCAAGAGATGGTGGTGATTAGCTCATAATTATCTTCATCATCATTGTTTTTATTTCTATTTCATTTGTATCATGAGCAAGACACATTTTTGCCATTTTTTTAGAAAACTGCTGCAGATATTCCAGCCCTGGACTCATCTCACAATCAACATAATAATAATCACCTTTTATTGCCTGATTTTCCACGGTGAGAACTTAACGTGCTTTGTCAGCAGAGCCTATATTGATTAGACTCATCCCATTTTACAGACCAGGAAACGAAGGGCCAGAGAGCTTGAGCAACTTGCCAAAAACCACGTAGCAAGTGAGAGGCAGCGCCTGCACTCAGGCTCAGTGTGCTCCCCGGGCCCATGCAAGCTCTGAGCCTGGCCCCTCCTAGGAACATGGAAGTTAAGGGTGAGGCTGCAGGGAGGGGGAGCCGCTTGCAGACCACAGAGAGAAGGAGCCACGGTCCAGGAACCCTGCTCTGTGGCTTGGCTTCCCAGGGCAGTACAGTCACGCCTACAGCCCTGGCTGGTGTGTTTATTTATTTTATTTTTTTTTCCTTTTTGTCTTTTTTTCGTGACCGGTAACGGGATCGCAACCCGCGGTGTCGCGCCCGTACCGGGGACTGGCAACGGGATCGCAACCCTCGGTGTTGCGCCCGCACCGCGCTCAGCCAGTGAGCGGGAACCGGTCTCCACATGGGATCCCAACACTCGGCGGGAGCGCCGCCCCACTCCCAAGCGGCGCACTCTCCAGTGCGCCACCGGGCCGGCCCCGGTGTGTTTATTTTTAACACTCCTGAGGGACCTAGTGGGGAGAGTTGAGCTTTGTGGCTTCCTTGCCACCAGGAGAAACAGACACAGTAGCACTGTTTTAGCTAGAGGGAGGCCTCTCGGCCGTGCCCTGGATGACCAGCCTTAGTGCCCACAGCTGAGAACCCAGCAGGCTGAGGGAGGCCGGCTCCCCCAGAACGGGGGTCCTTAGGTAGTCACAACAGTCATGTGGGACACAGAGCACAGGGGTGACATGCTTGAATCTTCTCACTCCCTTCCTCCCACTGCCTCCACATTCTGTCATCTGTACTTCTCTAATCCATCGAATCAAGCATCCTTCCTCTTTTCCGCCCTGGCCAGCGTCTGGCCTGGCTGGACCACTGTGATGGCCTCCAGCTGAGTCCCCTGCCCCTTCTCTTGCTCCCCAGCAAGCTCTTCATTCCACTGCACTAGAGGGAATTTTTCGAATGCAAAATCAGATTGTGTCTCTGCCCTGCTCACACCCTCTCATGGACTGCCCACTGTATTTCAAATAAAATGCAGCCTCCATAGCATGGTCTGCAAGGTCCTGCAGAATCAAGCCCTGCCAACCCTGTCCTCAACTCGCTTTCCCTTCATCTGTCCCCTCCTGCCACACCAGGGTCCTTGGCACATGCTGTTCTCTTTTTCAGGAATATTCTTTTTCCTACTCCCCACCTGCTCGGGCCTGCTTGTCCTTCGGATCTCAGAGAAGAAGGGCCCCTGCTGTCTCTAAGCAGACACTGGGCTGTATGTAGCATGTGTGTGTGTTATGTGTGTGTTTCCTAACAAGCACATGAGAGGCTCTCAGTGACTGGCTCTCCTGCCTCTCCAGCCCTTCCCCTTCCACATCTCCTGGTGCCACCAACAACGGCTGGTTTGTGTCTTCACCACCAGCTCACATCAGCCCCCAGGCCTTTGCTGGTTCCTTGACCTGGAATGCCCACGCCCCACTTTTTCTCCTCTTACCACCTATTCTTCCTTCAAGACACAGCTCAAAAGTCCTTCCTCTGGGGAGCCTCCCGTTTCCCCCAGACAAAGCCTGTTATTGTCCATCCTGACCTCCCACATACCTGCTCCCCACTCTGTACCAAGCCTTGCCCACCGTTCCCGTGTCCCTCTCTGCGTCCTTGCACCAAACACGGGGCCCGACACATAGCAAGTGTCTGCTGACACCACGGATATCTACATCTTAGTTGGGCTGTGTTTATGAACCTGAGCTCAAAGCCAGATTCTCTGGTTTGAATCTCAGATCCTTGACTTCCCACCTGTGTGACCTTGAGCAAGTGACTTAACCTCTCTGAGCCTCGGTTTCCTCCTCTGTAAAATGGGGGCAAAAATTGTGTCTGTTCGATAGGGTTGCCGTGAAGTCAAAATGGGTCAATACACATACAGTGCTGAGAGTGAACCTAGTACATGCAGAGTGCTCTGTAATGTTGGCGGCTTTGGTATTTCTCACATGTGGCATGGCCTGACACTCAGTTGCCTGCAGTAAGTGCTTGCTACACTGACGACAGCTGTCTTGTTTCCAGAACTGGACAGAGGCCTCACTGAGCCCCAGATTCAGGTCGTTTGCCGCCAGATGCTGGAAGCGCTCACCTTTTTGCACAGCAAGAAGATCATCCACCGAGATCTGAAAGCTGGCAACGTGCTGATGACCCTCGAGGGAGACATCAGACTGGGTAAGGGGCTGCCAGGGTGATGGATGCCCAGGGTGGGAAAGGTGGATCCCCGTGCTGGCCTGGCTTCTGTGGTGAGGGTGGGAGGGGCACCTGGTGGTGAGTGTGGGTTCCTTGCTCCTGCAGGGTCCCACGATGTCAACCGTCCTCCCTCCTGCCCTGGACGACAGATTGAGTACAGACCCCATCTGCTCAGTCTAGCCTGGGCATTCTCACCCCAGGGTGATTTTGCCCCCAGGGACATTTAGCAGTGTCTGAAGGAATTTGAGGTTGTTACAACTTGGATGGGTGCTACTGGCATCTAGTGGGTGGGTGCTGCTAAACACCGTATGGTGCACAGACAGATCCCACAAAGAGTCACTTCACCCAGAAGGCCGACAGTGCTGAGGTGGGGGAGCGCTGGTCTACACCCTCTGGTCTTGCTTCCAATCACGAGAATTCAAGTGAGACAGTGGGTGGAGGGTGACCCTGCATCCGTCCCCAGATGGAAAATGGTAGTACATCAGGCACATATGTGAAAACCTTGTTTTTTAATGTTTCCTCCTTCTTTGTATTTTTAACCCTTTTTTTAACCAGAATAACACATACATGTGTCTTCTGCTCCCACCACTCCCTTCACCATCCACCCCCACAGACAAGCACTTTGAACTCTTATGTTTACTTCTGCATTGCTAAAGAATATGCCTATAATGCTATTTTTAAAAAGTAATGAATTTTATTGTTTGAAATAAATAATACATGCTTATCTTACAACAATCACATAGTACAGGAGGAGTAAAGGAGAGAGCTAGAAAGTGCCTCCAATCAGTATGCAGAAACGTCCCCCAAATATTGGCCCAGGTTGTCATCCCAGATACTTCTGCACTCATCTGTGTCAGTGGAAGGACACAGAGAGAAAGGGGGGTATCTCAGAGAGAGACAATAACAACAGAGATGGCACTCTCCTGTTTGACTACATTCAACTCCACCCCCCAACACTGTCCTTCCAACAGAGACGTGTCACTGTAGTTCTTCTAGTGTTACCGTGGTATCTTTAAGGAACATTTTAATTACGTCCATGAGAAGCTGCACCACCGTGGAGCCCCTGTGATTGAGAACTGCAGGGATAGCGATGAGGGTGGGAACAGAAATGGGGACAGTGCCGTCAAAGATGTCTTCTGGAGCAGGAGGGCAGCTTTCAGCATCCCTGCTGTGAAGGCTCAGAGAGGGTGGGGACCTGCCCCGGGTCACACAGCTAGCAAGGACAGAGCCAAGGTGACCCCCAGGCTGCTGGTATGGGAGCAGGTGCTGGGGTGGGGGTTGTACAGGCACGGGTGGTCTGTTCCTTCACCTGGGCTGGGGGTCAGGAGTTTAGAAGAGGCTGGATGTGGGAGGAAAGTTTAAGCTGAGTAGTAAAGATGGGGGTAATTACCAGAGTGACAAGGCTGGGCAGGGTGGTCCAGGAAGAGGGATGCTGTGGACAGTCATGGAGGTGAGAAACAGCAGGGTATTTGGGGGAGATGGATAATAGAAATAACAACACACATTTCCCGAGTTTATGAAGTGCCTGCTGGGTGACAGGCATCAGACAAGGAACTTCCTGTAGATCATCTCATTTAATCAGCACTCCAGGGGGCAATCTGGGTGTGGGGACTGTACCCATTTTACAGGTAAAGACACTGAGGCCCAATGTGAAATGAGATGCCCAAGATCTACCACGAAGAACGAGAAGTAGCAGGTTTGGACTTGGGTCTTCCTGACTCCACAGGTGCCAGAGGACGGCCTCACTCAGGGGTAGAGGGAGAGCAGCCAGGGAGGGGCCGGATCAGGGAGCATACAGCGGCAAAGAGAGAGTCACATGTGCTCTGGAAAATTCAAGGGAAGCATTTGGTCTGGCCTTTAGGAATATATGAAGTGGAGGAGGCAGGACATAGGAGACCTGGTCACGACCAGACCAAGGGGTGATCAGAGCAGGGAAGCCCGGGGTGGACAGGGATGGGGGAGGGGCCCCGGTAGCTTCAGGCTGAGACATGCCCTGTGGGGTTCTCATTTCCCAAGCTGCACTCCCAGGACCCCCAAAAACACCCTAAATCTGGAAGGAGCAGAATCCCACTCAGAACCAACAGAAGATGGGACAGTGGCAGATGTCAGATTTCAAAATGACTTGGCATATCCCGTTGAGAAAACCAGGAAGCCAATTAAGGAGGAAGAAAAGTTCAGGGAGAGTTGAATGTGCGAATATTTACACAATTACTGCTGAGCTCTGGGAGCATGGAGTGGATGCCTGCTGAGCCCTGTTGTTCTGTTTTGGGAAATCCTCCCCACTGAGTTCTTCTAGAGAACTGAACCAGGATCTGCAGCCTGGCGTAGCAGTGGAGGAGGCCTAGGAGACTGGGTATCATCTGTCTGTCTCCTCCTGTCTTCCTGGGACCGTCTTGGGCACCTGGAGCCCCCACCCCTCCCCACCCCCATGTCCTTACTCGACTTGGAGATGCATAAAAGAATTGTTCAGCAGATCTGTTTCCCAAGCACCACCTCCCTGGAGACAGTGTCCGTGCCTCTCAGCAGAGTAGGAATAGAATGGACAAGCTGAGCAAAGCTCTAGACACAGACAAGCCTGGTTCAGATCCCAGCTTTGCTGCGTCTGCTGTACAGTCTGGTGAAACATATTTAGCCACTGAAACCACAGTTCTTTCATCCGTACAATGGGTAGAACCCATGGATGACAACTAGGGTGAATATACAAAGTACTGTCACACAGAGAGTGTCACTCAGGGTTATATCCCTCTCTGCTACTGGGCATTTTGGTTCTTTTTTGTGTTAAATATTTACTTCTCCCTGAAATTTCAAACTTCCTCTGAGATTCATCTGATAGTTGCCTAGTAAAGCACAAGATCCAGCTCAGGGTGGGTTTGAAGCAGCTCCACATTGGCAGGTGGGAATCCATTTGTACAGAGAGAGAAAGGGAGAGCATCTGTTTCTCTGAGACAGTTGGGATATGAAGTGAGGTGTGGACTTTGAGGTCCAAGGATCTGTGTTCTAGTTATGGATCTGTCAATTGGCATTGCATGACCTTGGACAAGTTGTGTAACCTTTCTGAGCTCAGTTTCCTCAAACTCAGAGTGGGGTAACAGTTCCTCCCTCACGGACTTGGTGTGATGATTGAATGAACAGCGCATGCAAAGCATCTATAGGTGCCCAGCACATCCCAGAGGCCCTGCAAATGTCAGCTTTCTCTCCTGGGCCAAGCACTGTCTCAGAGTGGCTGCTGCTTGGTGGAGCATTCCCCATTCTCCAGGGGTCTCAACTGGCCTAAAAATCAAAGTGCCCAGCATGAGCCTGGAAAGATAATTGGTGCTCAGTAACAGTCCCCTCCAGCATTACTGTCATTTCTTCAGTCTATGATTAGTTCAGGATTCCTAACTCCCAAAGGTCTCCCATGTGCAGGAGGCCTGGCAGGTGGTCCAGTCAAGAGCCAATCAGCCGCCTCTCACCTCCACCTCACCACAACGCAGCATGCCTGTCTCCTGCTGCCAGCAGGCTGGGCTCCTGGGTCCTTCAGTATAGCTGTCATGCACTGAGCCAGTGATTGATATGTACTAACTCATTTAATGCTCAAAGGCCACTGATAACATTTTACAGAGGAGAGATTTGGGACCTAGAGAGGCTAATTAAGTTACCCAAGGTCACACTGCTAGTAAGAAGAGAAACGAGTTCAACCCAAGGCATTTGGCTTCAGAGCCCATGTGCTTAACCACTACCCTCTTGCTGACTCTTTTTGTGGCAAATGATAAAAACCTATTTCCTTTGACTTAAGGCAGACAGGAAAATGTGTATACCATGGAACTAAGTTGGGGAAAAGATAGGGCTGGGCCTCATGGCTAGTTGGAACCTGGAACACAAATCTGCGGAGACCATCTCTCTGGCCTCTGCCTTTCTGTGCATGTTGGTGAAGCTCTCAGACCAACCTTTTGCACAAAGCTTCCGGCAAGGTCTAGTTTCACACTTCCCAGCATCACATCCTGCAGGATGAACAGAAACTCCCCATTTGAGGTCTCAGCATCAATAACCCCAGTGAAGGGCTCTGATTGGCTCAGGTAGCCATCCCTGGACCAGTCAGTGAGGCTCAGTTAGGAGGGGTTTTCTCATAGGCCCAGCTTGTAGTCGGTCTCTCTGGCCTGGAGCAGGGAGTCACCTGACAGTATGGAAACCTGCTGCCTCCCCCTCATGGAACAGTGAAGTGGAGTGAGGGAGATGATTTTCCAGAGGAAGAGGGGATTTGGACTGGTCAGAAAAGCAAAGCATTGTCCACCTAGACTGGCATAGCCTGTGGGCTTACATAGCCCAGAAGAGGGGGAATGAGTGATTGAGGTTGGCGAGAGTGCCAGAAAAAGACAGGAGATATGGGGAGGAGAGAGTGTCCACGAAGCCCGTGGGGGTAGGAGGCCGAAGACAGGGGTGCGAATGGGAGAACAAAGGCTTCATTCATTGAGTGGTCGCGTGTATCTAGTTGCCTAAAAACAAAGGAAAATATATAGAAACCCAATCACGGATCACGGTAGGGCAGTTCTTCCAGTCTCACAGTCGGCTAGGTAATGTGATCTCCATTTAATAGATGAGGAGACAGGCTCAGAGAGACGAAGCAATTTGTCTACGATCACACTGGAACCTTCTCCCTTCCCTGCCTGGCACTGTTCCTGTGACACCCCTGGGAAGGCAGATCATCCCTGTAGTTAGGAGAAGCCTCCCTCTGATTGAGCTCAGGTGTGCTGCTGGCTGCTGTGATCTGGAGGAAGGAGGCCCCTGGGATGCCAGGGCCAGGGATGGGAGCCTTTGCCTTCTGTCCCCACGCTAGTCTCAGCAGGTCCCAGCCCCTCTCTAGGCTTTGCTTCCCTGCATGTACCACCAGGGGCCTGGCTAGTGTTTGTCCACAGGGGCATGGTTGGCATTTTGGTAAGGATGGTTGTCACCGTGTAGGAAGTGCAGTGTCCCCAGCTCTCCCTCACTAAATGGCAGGAGCACCC